GCAAGATTATATATATATATATATATATATATATATATCAACTTGAAAAGAGAACCTATGCTCCTAAAAGAAGAAAATGGGAGCCAGGTGCTGGTGGCTCATGCCTGTAATCCTAGCTACTCAGGAGGCTGAGATCTGAGGACCACAGGTTCAAAGCCAGCCCTGGCAGGAAAGTCTGAAAACTCTTATCTCCAATAAAAACCACCAGAAAACCAGAAGTGGCACTGTAGCTCAATTGGTAGAGTGCTAGCCTTTAAGAAGAAAATGGGAAGAAAAATAGATAGATGCTATAAGCAAGCTCTAGAGTTTAATGAAAGAACACTCCCAAGATATAAATATGACAGTCTCATTTACATCTTTCTCAAGGCCCAAAACAGTACTGATGGCCTTGCCATTTGGAGGCTATGTGACCACTTTGTTCTAATAACGTCCATTTTACTCATCTATTATGTGGGACTAATTATTAGTATCCTCTTCATGAAAATATAGAGAAGGTCATCAATATGGTTTATCTAAAAATGGCATAGGAGGAAAAGGAGGCATAGCTTAAATGGCCTTAGGTTTAGTACAAGGTTCAAATACTCCTATATACAAATGTTCCTAGGTTCAAACTCTAATACCACCATATATACATATAGACACATGTATATATCACATAGTGCTCTTCAAATATGTGCTATGAAAATATTAAATAAATGTTAGCTGCCTTTACCATCTATGTTTTCCATACTGTAATCTCTCTAAATTCTCCCTGCTTCATGGGTCTATTCAACTAAACATTCACCCCACAAACAACTGTATCCAGTTAGAATATGGATTGAGGAGACTAGGAACTGTGTTTATTTGGAAGAAGCATCATAATTCAGTGATTAAGAGTGTGGGCCTTGGAGCCATATTTGAAATCTGCATCTACCATTTATCAAATCAATGGCATTTTGAAAGTGTTCTTTTTTAACTTCCTGGAGATATGCTTCTTCCAGCTGTAAAAGTAATTATATTAGCCACCAAGTAATTATATTCACTATCTGATAAGCTATTTTGAGTTGTGGTAATATATGTAAAATAAATTAGAATAGTACTTGGCATTTAATGCAGGCTATATAACTGTTTGCTCTGATGATTATTAATCTTACTGTTTACCACTGTGTCTACTATTTAGAACAGATACATGACAGGAATGTAGTAAACATTTGATGAATAAATAAACTCATGCCGGTCACTGGATATATGAAAGGATTTAAGAAAAGACCACTTGTCTAAACACCACTTGTCTACAAGAAAAATGTAAAAGCCAGTAGACCAGTGCTAGAGCACCTGCCTAGCATGTATTAAAGGACCTGCATTCAAGTCCTGGAGGTCAAGAAGGAAGCAAAGAGAAGATGGAGAAAGTAAAGAGACAAAAAAAAACAAGAGAGGAGAGAGAGAGAGAGAGAGAGAAAAAAAAAGAGAGAGAGAGGTATAGACAGAGAAAGAGAATGAGAAAGAAATATCAATACATCTTACAGCTTAATGAAGGATTAATAGTATTCGTAGTCAGGTCCAACTTCCCAAAGTTCAGGCTTTCTATCATGGGCTACACCACATTAAAAATTAACTGGCACATGGTATTTATATAACATGAGAAAAATAAATTAATAATAAATAACAGTGCGGCTAGGTTTTGTATAATAAAATACAAATTAAAGATTACACAGGGGCTGGGAAGGTGGCTCAGTGGTAGAGCGCTTGCCTTGCATGCCTGAGGCCCTGGGTTCGATTCCTCAGCACCACATAAGCAAAAAGAAAAAAGCCGGAAGTGGCGCTGTAGCTCAAGTGGTAGAGCGCTAGCCTTGAGCTGAAGAGCTGAGGGACAGCGCCCAGGCCCAGAGTTCAGGCCCCATGACCAGACCAAAAAAAAAATAAAAAATAAAAAAAAAAGATTACACAAAGTATATTCACAACTTATACACAACTCAGCTTTCTGTAATTTGGATTATCCTCAGTCAACTGTAAGCCAAAAAATATTAAATAAATACTTTTAGGAAAAAACAATTGTAAGTTGTGCAGTTTTCTAGGTAATGAGACAAAATGTCACATTACTCTGCCCCATCCTACTAGAGCTAGGAGTCAGCCCTTCATGCAGTTTATTCACACCTTATATACTTGCTAATCATTCCCTCTCATCTCAGTTATTAGATTGACAGTCATAGTATTGTAGTACTAGTGTTCAATTCATCCTATTTTACTTCATGTCCCCCAAAATACCGAGAGATGCTGAGAATAGAGGTGTATTGTTATACTGTTTCTATATTGGTATTCGTTATTCATCACTTGCTATATTTATCTCCTGGTCTGTAAACTGGAATTTAACCTAATGTGATGTATAGAAAAAAACAACATATGTAGGAATCAATGCTATCTTCAGTTTCAAGCACTTGGTAAGGGTCATAGAATGTATTCCTCACAGAAATAGGGATCCAATTTACTCTTTTTTATTATTTTTATTTTTATTTTTTGTGAACACACTGTACAGAGGGGTTACAATTACATGGGCAGGTTAATTTGTACATTTCTTATCAAGCATTGCAGCCTCCTCCTTTGTTTACCAATTTACTCTTTTATACCAATTCTATAACATTTCAACAGAACATTACTCAAGAATCACTTTGTAGATGAATAATAGCCAAGTATAGCCTGGATATTTATAAGACTTTATAATATTTGTAATAATATTATTAATAATATTTGTAATGATACTAAAACACTTTCTAATATTATTTCCTCAGTGACTGTCTTTCTGAAGATATTATATTGTAACCAAAGAAATACTGTAGAGAGCTACTTTAAGGTCAATACCATTAAGTTAGAATTACACTGTATTAGTAAAGTAAGAATCACACTGTATTAAAGGCTTCCATGTACAAGAAACAAAGGAGCATTGTTGTTGATGCTGATAGCAAAACAGCACACTTGAACTTGTTCACCTCCGAAGCCCTGTATTCCAACATTAGCACTCTTTCTTTGAAATTAATTCTCAGGTCTGGGGATATAGATCAATAATAATAGTGTCTATCATGTGCAAGGTCCTGGGTTTAATATGTACCACCCTGGAAAAATAGAAACTAGAAAAACAAATTCATGTTAAATTGTTGAATGTTATTCTGATGGAAATTGTGTGTGTGTGTTTGTATGTGTGTGTATGTGTTTGTATGTGTGTGTTTGTATGTGTGTGAGTGTTTGTATGTGTGTGTGTGTTTGTATGTGTGTGTGTATGCATGCAAGTGTGCCAGTACTAAGGCTTAAACTTAGGACCTCATGCTCTCACTTGGCTCTTTGTTTTTCCTCAAGGCTGGTGTTCTACCACTTGGGCCACATCACTACTTCTAGCTTTTTACTGTTTAATTAGAATCTCAGGAACTTTTCTGATTGGGCTGGCTTTGAATTGCAGTTTGAGAAAATGCAAAATCTGTGAAACTAGGGAAATAGATCTCATTTAGTGCTAAACAAGAGTAAACTGGCTCTTCTTCCAAAAGGCCCTTTGGGAATTGATGTTAAAAAAACATCATAATGTTAATTCAGTTTGGTCTAATTATCAAGTAAATATGATTTATCCCAAAGAAATTACTAAAATTACATATAAATATGAAAAATGTATTTATTGCAACATTATTTATAATAGCAAAAATATTAGAAACAAACTAAACATGTACTTACTGCAGTTGGGGGTGGGTGGGATTTTTTTGCTTTTGTTTTGCCAATCCTGGGGCTTGAACTCGGGCATAGGCACTGTCCAGAGTCTCTTCGTACTCAAGGCTAGTGCTCTATCATTTGAGCCATAGGGCCACTTCTGGCTTTTTCTAAATAGTTTATTGGAGATAAGAGTCTCGTGGACTTTCCTGCCTGAACTGGCCTCAAACCATGATCCTCAGATCTCAGCCTCCTGAGTAGCTAGGATTACAGGCATGTGCCACCAGTGCCCAGTGACAGTTTTGGAGTGTGTGTGTGTGTGTGTGTGTGTGTGTGTGTGTGTGTGTGTGTGTGTGTTGCTGACATGTACTTATAAAAGCTGCGTTGTCATTATTATAGACATGTGGCACAATGCTCCAGTGGCAAACAAAAATCATGTTGTCTTGTTGAACTTTGACTCTCTAAAGAATTACACTGAGTTCTGGAGTGGGATCAGGGGAAAGAGGTAGATGAATAAAGAAGTAACACATGAAGAATAAAGAGGAGAAGCAAGGGGAATGCAGTCAAGAATTCAATGTATATCCTACAAATCAAGAGGTGTGAAGGAAAAGGGTAAGCAGGGAGGGATGGGTGAGAATCTTGAAAGGAGTTTCATTGATCCATATGCACTGTGTTCATGTGGGCATTACATGGTAACTCCTTTGTACAAACACTTAAAGTAGTAATAGTAATAAAGTCATATTGTCTAAATGCATTTATGTTATAGTCAAACCCACCCTAGGTTTTAAAAAGCAGTTTCTAAAACAATGTATATAAAATGATCACAATTGCTTAAAGAATACAGCCAAGCAGGGAGATGACTTTTGGGTTTCCAATTTTCTTTTTTTTCTTAAATTAATATGTATTACTTTTTAATCACATGAAAATAACACATTAAGATAAAATATTTCTGTAACTACTGTTCTGACATCCATTGTAATATGTCAATTTCTCACAGGGAAAGATAGAGACAACCTTATTTTATAGCATCAGTGTATGCACTTACCTGCAAAGTTTTATATTTCAGCATCAGTTACTCTTTCCTTAAAATATATCCTCATGTCTGGAAATTTGGTTCAATGACAGAGTGCTAGACTAGCAATGTGTAAGGTCCTGAGTTTAATCCCTAATTAAATCTGCTTTGGCTAATGCTTTGGCTAATGCTTAATACCTCTATTCTCAGAAAGTGTGATACAAATACCTATGTTAATTATTGCAATTTAATCCTTAATCCTGTTTAAGTACTTCTCTTCAACTTCATAGGTTTAACTCTATATTAATTTCTTCCCTTTTAGGTAAACAACTATAGTTTAGAAGAAGTAACACATGAAGAGGCAGTAGCAATTCTGAAGAATACATCTGATGTAGTCTATCTAAAAGTTGGCAAACCCACCACCATTTACATGACTGATCCTTATGGTCCACCTGATATTACTCACTGTAAGTACCATGCTTTGTGTCACCTTTTAATAGCATGTCAACTTTAAAATTGAAATTCTATAGAACCATTCATTGTCAAAGTCCTATGCTTGAACCTTCAACTCTTACACAGGGTCTAGAAACACTGTCGAGAGAATATTCTGTATTTTCTTCCCAAATTTCTTTTCTGGACCTTGCTTAGTTTTAGAGGTGGGGCACCTTCATGACAGGCAAATCTATTGTGGTGGAAAAGATTAATAATCAGCATTCATTATTAACATTAATAGTTAATCACCACTTGTTAACATTTATTAATATTTATAATGTGTTGTGAAGAGGATTATTACCATAGTGTAGGGGCAATGTATTTTATGAGTGTTTATCTCAAACATGACTGACCTCATGCCATAACACTTCCACTTCCTAATTTAGATCTTACTGGCAACAGCGTGAAGGGAAAAAGCTGATAAAATAAACCAGAGGTATTACACTTTCATTTCATGTTACTTAAGAGTCAAAAATTGAAATGATTTTGGTTTGCCAACTTAGGCAAAAAAAAAAAAGTTCAAGAACCCCAATCTGAAAAATAACTAAGGGAAGGAGGCTGGGGCCAAAGCTTACATGGTAGAGTGCAAGTATAAGACCTCAAATTTAAATTCCAGTTCTGTCAAGAAAGGAAGAAGAGAGGGGAGGGGAAGGCAGGGAGGGGAAGGAAGGGAGAGAGAATAGAGGGGAGGAAAGGAGGGAAGAGAGAACGGAGGAGGGGAAAGGAGGAGAGGAGAGGGAAAAGGAGGAAAGAGGAGGAAAGGAGAGGATGGGAGGAGGGAAGAAGAGGAGAGGGGAGATGGAGAGCAGAGGGGAGGAGAGGGGGGGAGAGGAGAGGAAAGGAGGAGAGAGAAAGAGAGGTGGAAGGAGGATTATATCGGAGCTTCTTCCTGAGGAAGATGGTCTTACTCTTGAAGAGGAAATCACCATAGTGCTTCTTCCCTTTACCTGAAATTGTTATCCTGCAAGAAGCAAGAGAAAATAATCAGTTATGACACTTGATGTGGGTTGAGGGCGTGGTTCTAGGGGGCTCTAGGGCATGAGCGACTGCGCTAATGACCTTACAGATCCACTCCTACATGACACCCATATTTTGTCTTCCCCTTAACAGTTCATGATGAACCTTATTTGAGATTCTGTCTTTGAGGGTTCAATTTGGAAGCAATTTGCTTGCTTATGTAAAGGCAGTGCTAGTTGTGTTGATATAAGTATGCTTGCTCATTCTGAAATTTTGATAGTTCAGTTGTGCCTCTGGGAATTCAGAATATACCCAATGTCTGCCATTTAGTAATATGGTCTTAAGCAAATTATTTAGTCTTTCTCAGATTCTCCTGAGAGAAATGTAAAGATTGCATAGTTTTGTTACCTGCTCATTACCTTAGTTATTGCTTTTCTTAATGATAATTCTAAAATATCCTCTCCCCCACCCAAAAAAAGAAACCCACAAATTGTCTCTTTTCTAAGAAAGGAGTAGGCTTAAATAAATCTTAACTATTTTCCTTTAACTTTTCCAAGCTTAATGAATTTTGAAAATCAGCCTATGGAGACTCTAAGTCACTTCAGCATGGCATATGAGGTCAATGTCAAACAGAAAAATAAAGATGAAAAGGTTTCTAATCAATTCAAAAAATGTGTATTAAGTTACAATATATACGGCATACTTCGTAAAGTAAAATGGAAGATACAGAGGAAATATAATCATGGCCTTCAAGTAGCTTGGTTTGAAGGTAAACCAATTCAGGTATTTTAATAGCAACAACATTTGGTAGGATAGGAGAGTTGGGAATGCCCTAGAAAAAAAATTTAAAATAACCTTTAGAGTCTCAAAATTGAGAGATATATAATCTGCCTTTAGAAGATTAGGGGAAAAACCTCTATGCAGAGGATCGAATAATGCCTTGAAGAATGATGAGATTTCTACATCCAAAATAAGATAAGCAGTAACAAATGAAAGACAGAACTTGTAAATATTTTATATGGTTTAAAAAGGTCAGATATCAATGGGATGACTTTGTTTGAAGATGACAGAATATGTGAAGGAAACACTATAGGAATGTAAAGGGGAAAATTATGCTTTATCTAGTATAAGAATTTAATGATGAACAATTAAGCAAGAAAACATGGCCAGAGCTGGACTTGCAAAGGGTTTACTTTAACTCAACATGTAAAATGTTTGTGGAGACAAGGAAGACAGGATCCCCAATGAGAAGATATTGCCAGTTGCTTAAAATGGAAATGAATTAGGGACAAGAAATGGAAAAGAGGGGCTGGGAAGGTGGCTCAGTGGTAGAGCACTTGCCTTGTATGCATGAGGCCCTGGATTCGATTCCTCAGCACCACATAAGCAAAAGGAAAAAAAAAGCTGGAAGTGGCGCTGTGGCTCAAGTGGTAGAGTGCTAGCTTTGAGCTGAAGAGCTGAGGGACAGCGCCCAGGCCCAGAGTTCAGGCCCCATGACCAGACCCCCCCAAAAAAAGAAAGAAAAAAGAAATAGAAAAGAACATCCAGAGCAACTGGCCTTTCTCTGATAAAAGTGTATTATATTCTGGGAGGAAGTCTTACACAAGAACTTATTCCTTAGGAGACTTTGCTTTTAATGATCGGATATTAATTATGTGAAAAGAATGGAAGCCTCACAATTAGAAAGCTAACATTTTTATCTCAATAGAGAAATGAATCATCGTTCTGAGACTGTGTGTTGTAGCTCCCCTTCAGTTCTTCTCATCACCTAATTATATTAACTGGAGTTACAAATATAACTCTTACATCTTTCCAATTCTAAAGATCACCATGTACTTGTATATATTAAATGCAAATCATCAGCAACTATGCCCCTCTTGGAAGACAAGAAAATTCTTGGCATGTACAAAACCTTTGCATTTTTAGTGCATCCTTTGAAGTACAGCAATGACACATTGAATCACCCACATACCAGGTTTCACTTTCTTTCTATATTTTTTTTTCTCTTAGCTTATTCTCCACCAATGGAAAACCATCTACTCTCTGGCAACAATGGCACTTTAGAATACAAAACTTCCCTGCCACCCATCTCTCCAGGAAGGTACTCGCCAATTGCAAAGCACATGCTTGTTGAAGATGACTACACCAGGTCAGATATATTTGCTGGTTTGGGGCCTTGCTTTTGCTACCGGAAAGTAATCACATTTACCTAACATGTCAGATATTGTGTGGGGCAGTAACTTCAAGCTTTTGAGTGTCATCAAAACTTAGCATAGTCTTGCCTCAGTGGAAGCCTACAAATACTTGTAGGAGAAATAGTAGCATACACTTAGCAATGTACACTTAGGAACATACAGTGTGGTGTATTAGGACTTTCCAGGACATACCCTATTTGAGCTTTACAGCCATCTGAAGTTTGTCAAGGGACAAAATTAGGGCTGATGTTTGTAAGGCAGAAAATGATCTACCAGAATCACTGTCTAGCTAGTTGAGATCCTAATTGAAATTGATTTTGTGACTCTGATTTCCATATTCTTTCCACCAAGGGCCACCTTTAGTTCAGTGGATTCAGAAGCTCCTCTCTGTGTACTACCTATAGGCAGAAGGTAAAGGATTGACCGTTAACCCAAAATGGTTTGAAATTCATATACTGTTTATTACAAAGGGGAACAAGACCCAATTGTAGAAGCATAGGCTAAAATACTCAGGCACAAGCACAGCCATATCTATCAGCACTCCTCTGACAGGTCAGTTCTGACAGTTCACAGAGAAGACCAACTTTGTTTATTTAATTCACCAGTAAGGATTATATGAATATTGTATGATGAATAAGTCAATGAATGAATGAGTGGATAAATATTTTTAAATTTACATTTTCTTTATATTTTCAAATGGTTGTGTTTCAAAAAATATGCTTATTACATTGAGTGACAGAATACAAACATAATGAAGAAGCAAGAACCTCCTTCCAACTCCCTCCTGAGTGACCTTTCTTGAGGTTCCTAGTGACAGTTGGCCACAAACCTGTCATTCCCTGTCCACACCCATGAAAATATAGACAGTTACATTCTCAGATTGAACTGGGACTTGACACTAACTTTATTAAATGGGTTCACATTTTACACATTGCTCAGCAATTTGATTTTGTCTTTTGAGTAATACGTTTTCTAGAAATTAGATTAAATTTGGATACATACTTTATTTCTATATGTTTTTGTGTTTAAAAAAAAGATGGAAAAGATGGATTGTTTGGGATTTCCATTGCTTCTATCTAATTGAAACCATTTGTCAGCCTTTGAAACAGCAGAGGAGACTTGCAGCTAGGACATGTTCATTCTTTGGCCTTTCTGTTCTTTGGTATATCTTTTTGAATGATTAAGCATTTTCCATTTATTTTGCAATCTCAGGTTTGCTGAAGTAGCTTGTTATATCTTTAGCCGAGGAATGGAATGTTTGAATGCTGAAAATGTGCATCTGTGGTATAAATCAAATAGAAAATCCTTCCTATGCTGAAATCTCTGATCTGTGTGCTCTTAATTAAAATAAAGTCTGCAGCAAAGACGATTCTCGGGACTATAATGAATTGTGTAAATATAGGCACCTTACCCATGAGAGCAATGATCTATTTGCTTCCATCCTATTGCTAATATTTGACATCATTTTAATTTGAAAATGCTGTTTAGCTTATCAGCACCCATAATAAGTGAACATTTATTAAAGCTTCTTCATAATCCAAGCCCTGTGCTAGTTGTTTTACATACATTATCCATTTAATCCTCTCAAAACTACAGAAAAAAAGCCAGGTGCTGATAGCACATACCTGTACTGTTAGGCTGAGATCTAAGGATCACAGTTCAAAACCAGCCTAGGCAAGAAAGCCTGTCAGATTCTTATCTTGAATTAACCACCAAAAAATAGAAGAGGAGTTGTGGCTCAAGTAGTAGAGTGCTACCTTTAATCACAAAAGCTCAAGGGCAGTGGCTAGGCTCTGAGTTCAAACCTCAATACTGGCATACACTGCCCACCCCACTCCCCAAAAAAACAGAACAAGAAAACTTTCATCCATATTTTTGATATGTAGGAAAAGAAAGTTCAAAGAATTGAGGGAAATTGCTTGTGATCACACAGTTTTTAAATAGAAAAAGTCAGTTTCTTGACAGCTTTAAATTTCTAGCTAGGAAAAAACATTTAGACTTCCTTCTTTATTTCAGAAGGTATGGTGAGTTATATAAAAGTGCCTATCACAGAAATGTGGAACTGGAAAGGGACTGTGGAGTTTGGGTGCACTCTAAAGAAAATTAGATCTAGACCATCCTCTGTCACTGGCTGATTGTGCCCTTCCATAAATCTGCAAGCTTCAGTTTTCTATCTGTCCAAGACTAACAAATCGATCTCAATAGGTTTTTAAAATAATTGAATGGCATAATGAATGCAAAGAGCTTCCAATAGAATAGGGGGGCATCATAAATCATCACGAACTGTTATCTGTTTACAGTACCTATATTTAGTGTAATTCAGATGTCACATGGAACATTCTCATGGTTTTCCATGAAGACAATCAATTTCTGCTACTGTAGCTATGCCTCAGTATCTTCTTTTGGGCCCCTGGCTCTTCCTCAGATTCTCTGAAGCATAGTCTTACTAATAACTCTACATAAAACTTGCTGAATAGCTGGTACCTGGCCAATTTGAAGAGTAAATAATATAACTTCATATATATTCATACCTCCTCACCACTCTGTTCCCAAACACTGGCTTGATCTCCTATGTGCTCCTTGCTGTAGCCATTACATGGGACAGTTGCTGAAACACAGATTCACTGACTCATTTATTAGTTTTTATGAGTATTTCTTACTAGACAGTAAGTACTGCTAGACATACAAAAATGAGTAAGAAATAGCATCTAAGATGATCTAAATATGATCAAAGTACAGTCTGTGCATGTATGTAAATATTTAAGACAAAAAGAAAGAGTATCTGAACTATTAAGGCAAAATATCTAAAAATTAATGAATTCCCCAATGCCTAATGCTTAGTTATGTGTCTCATCCTTCCGTTGAGTTGTGCACAAAGCCTAAGTTATTTATTGTTTCATGATCTTGAGACTATCATATCTAGAGCTAAACTATCATTTACTTTCTAAAAAAATAGTAGTCAATAGCAGTTATATCTGTCCTTACATGGAAGATAAAGGGTTGGCAACTTTGTGTCAGACCTCATCTTTTGGAATAGCCAGGGTCTTTCAGATAAATGTCTGAGAACTTCTAACAGAACCAAACAAACCTGGTTCCTTCTGTGACACTCTGTCATGTCACCCTAGCACAGCTACCTAACATCATAAGAGATGCTTAGGAAATATTTACAAATGGATTTGAGTTTTACATGGATGCCCAAATAATAGCCAATTACATCTCCAAGACCCTTTAAAAAAGAAATGACTCCTGAAATCTAAGCTAGAAAAATGAGTAGACTGCTCAGATCAAGATGTCAGAAAGGGCATTTTTGGTAAGGGTTTCACTTGTGGAGACTCACAGAAGAGTGTGAAATAGAAAGTAAATATAACAGTTTAAAATGTGACTCATAAAAATAAAATACAGGTAATTTAAACTACCTGTATTCCTACTCTTCCTGTCACATGGGACCTATATATAACATTAAAAACACATAGAGGATTTAAATGAAAAAGTGTTAAAACTATGCACTATATATACTAAGTGCTTTAACAGTTCATTGCCCTTTATTGTCTAATTCCATATTTGTATTCTTTTTATTCTATTCTTTCCTTTCTTTCTTTCTTTTCTGGTCCTGGGGCTTGAATTCAGGGAATGAGCACCATCTCAAAGTTTCATTTATTCAAGGCTAGCACTCTACCACTTGAGCCACAGTGCCACTTCCGGATTTTTTTCTTTTTGCTTATGTGGTGCTGAGGAATCGAACCCAGGGACTCATGCATGCAAGGCAAGTGCTCTATCACTGAGCCACCTTCCCAGCCCTACTCTGTTTCTTGAAGCTGCTGTTTAAAGATTTTAGAGGTGAGACAGAGGGGTGTCTGGAAGAAGAAAATAATAATTACAAAAAAAAAGCCCTGCAATCAATCAAGGATCACCTGTGAATAGTACCCACTTAACATATTACTTACAATCTGGCCAATTTCTTCTCTAGTATTTAGAAGTAAAAACCACATATCCTTACCATCTGGATAAATATTCCTAGGATACCCAAATCACATCATTAACATTAAAATGAAATGAAAAAATGGAGATGCAAAGTAAAATTACTGTTTCAAAACATGGATAATTAATTCTCCAAGTTATAAGAACAGCAAATGGCAATACAAAAACCAGGGCTCTAAATTGCAGCTACAGGATAGATTCTTCCCACAGTTAGAAAGTAAAATCAAGTAGCATTGAACTTTGTATAGCCTCGTGCCTTTCTCACTGTCTCACAGTGTTCTTGCCTATTTATCAGCTGATCAAAAAACATAAACTAAGCAGTCTCAAGTAAAATTTCTTGTCTACAGAAAGTATTAAAGGGCAACACCAAATTGTGGTGTTGTCTCTGATGCTCACAAGTTTGATTTCAGCATTAACAAGTAGATAACCCTGTGATCAGTCTGGAGTCCATCAATTCTTTATTCTCCCCCAATTACAGAAACATGAAATGCATATGCAAGTCGCTTTTTCCCTTTCACTGATCCATTCATTTACTCAAATGAGTATTCAGCTTCAACCACATATCAAATATAGTTACATACAACAAAATCACAATGGTCAACAGACGAGGAAAGGTGCTAGCCCTAATAGGATTTATATATCAGCATATGTTTGTAAAAAAAAAATTAAAAAAAATCCCTCTGGCCAGAATCTGGTGGCTCATACCTGTAGTCCTAGCTATGAAGGAGGCTAAATCTGAACATCATGGTTCCAAGCCAGGCCAGGCAGGAAAATCCATGAGACTCCTATCTACAATTAACCACCAGAAAACCAGAAGAGGAGCTGTGGCTCAAAGTGGTCGAGTGCTAGCCTTGAGCAAAAGAACTCAGGGACAGCCCCCAGGTCTTGAAGTCAAGCCCCACAATCTCTCCCCAGCAAAATCCCTCTGACTGCTATGAGGAATAAATGGGGAAGTAGTCTGGCAGCTGGACTTGGG